GTGCTAGACTTACTAATTTTCTTGTTTAACAAAATTTACACTGTTGCATGATATGTATTCTGCTATTATACTGGGCGAAACACGAATTTGGTTGCTTTTTCTTTAATTTTATGATTCAAAAATTTCTAGTTGACCAGAAATTTACTCTTTAGATGTAATGTTACAGTTTATTAAAAAGCTTGAACACGGCATTTGAAATTTTATCAAAAACTTAATAATGCAGATTTTCAGTTTAACGGTTTTTCCTGCAGAATACAGTTTAGCATTGATCCTCATTTCCATTCTCTTTTCGCGACAGAATAGACAGTTGATGTTAAAGATTGTTTAGCCATTTGTATTACGCTAGTTCCTGGATTTTTGAAAGTCTAAAATACAATGAAAAGCAACAAAGTATGCAGATTCATTGATTGAAACTGAATTTAAATTTTAAAATGAAATGTGATCTTTATTGAAATTTTTAGTTACGTGATTTCATCATAATGGTTGCTGATCGTGATAGGGAAGATGAATATGAAGCTTTGGAAGTTCATCGAATGTCGTTTTTTTATGAGTCGAATCAACCAGAAATGATCCTTACAAGGGAAGTGCTACCTTACACACCCAAATACATTTTGCATTAAACTAATTAATTATGGATTAGGAAGAAATATGCTACCTAGCGCTTGATTATTTCATTTAACATTTGCTTCAAAAATAGAGACGACTTTTATCTTCTTTTTTCAGCAGAAAAGGCGAGAAGGTCGTTACTATTAAATATACAGGAATCGTTCAAGCGCGCAAACAGTTTTTTCATTTGATTCGTCGTATCAATGCATATGGAAATATTATGGGTCCATTACCACAGAACACTTGCACAATCTTTAAACTTACCTACTATGATGAAAGTAATATTTTTGAATAAATTTTCTTATTCACTGCTATATATTCATTTGGTATAAATCTTCAACGAAATCAGTGATTAAGGTTAATATAGTAGTTAAGCCAGTCAAAAAAAATGAAATATTTCTATTACTGCAATAGTCCTACCATGCTTTCTTTTAGCTAAAACATAATAGTTTGAGTTATCATTGGACTACCAGCATATATTCATTATCAAATATGGATGAATTTATAAAAAGGCGACTTATTTTCAACTATGAAAAGATATAAAAGAACTTGTGAATGTCTGTAACTAGTCAACTTCATGCTTCTTCCAGCGACGCCTGTGAATTATGAACCACAAGGTTTTATAGCTGATGGAGATCTATTCCATTTTCCGAAAGAAATCGACCCGGTGATGATTGGTAGATTCGATTGTGAAAAACACATGTGTGTGTTTCTTTTTTCATTAGGGACCATCCAAAACCAGTTTTCATGTTAACTGAACCGCTATTAAATCTGATTAGATATGATGATCAAATTATGCAAGCTTTAATTATTATTGTCATTCTAATTATTTGGTAACAATATCATAGCAACAATTTTTAAATGTATTGAAGAATTATAAGGTATGCTGAAGAAAAAATATTTCGCGTTGGTCGGCTAACACCGAATTTTCCGAACTATGGTAGTAATTTGATTGCTGTCATCAAAAGCCTGCGATTTAATGTTCAGATAGTTTTAGAGATCGTGTTCAATTTACAGCTAAGCAAATGCTAATGGAGTGTTACATTGGTTTGTTGAACAATCTTGTTTCAAACTTAATTTATCTAGGGTTACAACATCAGTTCATTCGATTTTCATGAAAAGTACAACCGAAATGAAATCATTGATGCATGCCGATGCCACTAAATTTAACTCTTCGGTTTCTCGTGATACCACTATTTGCTCTTCACCAACTAAAACCTTACGGACGTTCTCGATATGTACGGACGAGTTCTCTCAAGTTCAAGTAAATTGTCAAGCTTACTTAATGTTTAGATTTTTGGGAAACTTTATTTTCGGCTGAAGAGAAATTTTTATTTTTTGCATTGCAGATAGATGATACTGAACAACAAAGTGAACCAATGAGAGACGCTGGATTGACGGCATTGTCGTCATGTATTGATATAAGTGGCACACTGAAAACTGCAGAAATTTATCGCACACTTTCAAGTAAAATAATAAAGCTAATTGTAATGGCACAAGCTCAATATTTATTAAGTCAACATAGATAACATAGAAGAGAGTAGTGGTTAAAAATCAACCGATAAATAACACCAGTACTTGATGACTAGAATTAGATAGTGTGAATCATTGATCTGTTTAATGTTGAAATTGACAAATTTATTTTGCAATTGACAAATTTCAAGAAAAATCGGAGAGAAATATCTGATATTTAATTGCACAGCAGATACGCTACATAAGCATACCCGGCAGTTTTAATTCAGCTAAAAGGTATTAAGAAGTTCTGCATTAGCAAAAAGCACAAGGTGAAAAAAAAATTAAATCTGCAATTTTGGATTAAAAAAGTTTCAATTTTAGCTGAGTCAAGCATCTCAATGGAAAGTTCGAAGTTATCAGTTGAATCGGATGTTTATGAAAATCGAACGGCTGAGAAACCAGAACACGAGGGATCCATCATGCCATATATCTATAAGTATCAGTTATTCTATTTCGTGACTGATTTAATCTGATTCTCATTGCCGGAAAACGTTTATATCGAAAAAAGACAGAGAGTCAGCTATTTAAACGAGAAAAACAGTTAATAATTGCAAAAAATTGAAACAAAATAAAATTCGAACTGACTCAAAAGAAATGCAAATAATTGCAGCCTGTAGTTGCTGTCATTATTTGAAAGTAACTTTTCTACTAGATGCTTTTGTCTGTAATTGCAGACTACTAAAATTGTCTATTCAATGTACTGCCATTCGTGGAGAATAGTTGGGACGATACGCCATTGCTACTAATGAAAATTGTAGTGAATAAGAGGAAAAACTTCCCTACAAATTGTACTGAAATATAAACTGACCCACTGAATTAGCTGAAAAATTTCCAGGAATACGATGAGTGATCGCGATTGGAATATATAGGCTAGCGACGACGAGATATGAGAGAACAGGAGAAGGAGAAAGAAATTTTTTCTTCCTATGGAAATAAAGTGAAATTTTTACCATTTATTATATTTATTATACATCTCGCTCTGAACGTCAATCATTTAGAAAATTGTCTTTGATCCTTTTTTGTGCTAAATTATATTCTCATATAATATTTGCTTCGAAAAAACATATTTCATAAAAAAGCAAAAGAGATTTTGTTGCTTTTGTGAAGATTGGGACTAAAAATAATTCTTAATAATTAAATAAAAAAATCACTGTTAAGAATTATAGTCAGAAGCGAGAAGTAACAATTTTTTCTTTCAACAATGTTATCATTGTTGCATTCATTGATTTTTTTTGCACACCTGTTATCGTTTTCGTTGTCTGCTTGTTTGTTCTTTTATCCTTTACTTTATGATAATAAAATTTTTTGTTATTATGTAAAATTATTTTTACCTGAAATTGGTACTGTGCATATCTCTTCCCAAATCTTTATAATACACATACGCACCAATTTCCATGCACACTTAAAAAGTTCAAACCTCCATAATGTTATTGCTCGAACTTTACAATGCTATACTTCGCTGTACAATGTCAGAACATTGCTTAATTCTTGCTTCGTTATTTTTTTTATTATGTGAATGAGCTGAGATTACTGGAGCCGAGGTTTGAGGTATGACGTTGATATAGCAAGGTTTAACCTATGGCTAATGATATGAACCTTTCATGATGCATGACGATGAGATTTTGTTCGTGTTACAATCTGATTTATAGTAAGCTTATAAGTGAAGGAGATTGATTGTGATGTTATGTTTTACATTTGCCAATGCCAAATTAGAGTGTAAACATGATGATGAAATCCGATGCATAAAGATGAGTAAATAGGCTTTTTATGTAAAGAGATTTGTATAATACTGCCAAATACAATATTAACATTAAATTCTTTTGAAGAATGTTATATTGGTATAAAATGCTAAATCTAACTAATTTATTGTACTTACATCGAACAATTGATGAAATTTAGGTTGTTTGTGCATTTTCCCTTCCTTTTCTGGCGCTTTTATTTTAGACTGCTTCGTTTAGTTTTGTGTTTTGTGTTTTTCAGGTTATACATGTGAAATGTTATAAAATACATCATCGAAATTAATCTAAACGTATTATGGGTAATTTATTCGGGAAACAACGAGCAGCTTTACCGCCGATATCACAACAAGATCATGCCATTTTGGTTAATTTTCTTTCTTTAAAGTTTTTGTTTGCCCAGAAATAAGTATTAGATACTGTGCGATTATTTAGTTTTATATGTGAGAACCTGTAGACTCAGTTTTCTTATTTGATGTAATATCTTTTTTAACAGAGATGAAGATGGAAATTCTTAGATGTACTCTCCGTTCTCCCAAAAATCTTAGGAGAAATTTCCGAAAATCCATCTGGATATGATTGCTCTTTTCTGAAGCTTATTTGTTTTGATACTTACAGAAAAGCAGTGTTAATTTAGGTTAATTTAGTTTTTTTAACTTACTTTTTTAAATTTATTTCTCGGCGTTAGCTAAATTTTATGGGATTAGAGAAATTAGACGAACTATCATACTGGGTGTGGTATTCCACTGCTACGGTCCTATCAGTATTATCAATTCCCGAAACAATGACAGTTCGATCTATGAGGGATAAGCGTTTGCATATCTCACGATTCTTCAGAACAAAATATCTCGTATACAGAAGAAAAATAGGTGAGAAAACTTGCTATTGTTTTTTTTCTCTAAAACCAAAAATATAATTTATAGCAGTTAAAAAATCAAAGAGACAAAATGAAACAGTATATAAAGAGAAATGAAAAACAAATGGAACGCGAGAAAGAATTGGCAAAGCTGCTGATAAAAGCCAAAAAAAAAGAGTAAGCTTTTCGTCTATTATTTGTTTTTCTTCCATAATTTAAAACTATTACCCAATTACTTTATTTATACGCAATGTAATTCCTTTTCTATTTGTGTGTTCAGTTTTCTGCATCATATTCATCAGTTTAAAAAAAGTAAATTATCATGCATATAGAATAGTTATATCGTGTTGCCTCTCTGCTAAAGGAAATGGTCTCAGTTCATTATGTTCTATCATTACTATTGATGCTGACGATTAGTATTATCTCGGAGATCAACCCAGTGATTGCTTTTGTTTCTATTGAACTAATTTACTTTTTGAAAAATTACTAGTCTGTTTTTCAGTCGTGCCTTATTAATTTTAAAGCGGAAGAAATATCAAGAATCAGTGACTGAAAAAATGTTGCAGCAGTTGGATACGATTGAAAGAATGGTATTTGTTTTTTTAAATATTTTGACATTTTCAAATTTTGCAGTTTTGTTAGTATGTTTGTTTAGAAGTATGGGAGGAATAAAAATTACAGCTTATATCAGAGTCTGATGAATATATATTAATTTTCTAATAGTATCTAAAAATCGAAGCACTATTAAAGGTCAATGATTTGGAATTTGCCGTCATCGAGCAGAAAGTAGTGGAACAATTGAGGCATGGTAATGAAGTCTTGAAGCGGATGAATCAGGTAATTAAATGACTCAAATACTCTTTGAATTTGTGAACAATTATTTTGATAATGAATTATATTGCTGAGATTATGGGGAGCTTTTTCATACATTCATTTTCACATTATTAAAAAGTAACTAAATTTGGCAAAAATTCTCGAGTTATTCAACTATTTGAGTTTATGTTTGTCTAATGGAATATTTTGTGCAGGATTGACATACTGTTGTCGAGTTTCTTCGAAATGTCTAGAAGTTTAAATATTAGAGTCAAAAAATTCAAAATTTGAGTAATTTATGTCGTTATTGAGTAGTTTTGCGGCTGTGGTTTTATTTTACTGAGATTAATTTTTCATCTTATTTAAGTTCAGAAATCATTTTCACTTTTGTTTAGTGATTCACTTGTGATACAAGTGTTTTTCTTTCAGATGATTTCAGTTGATGATATCGAACAAATTATGGATGAGACAAAGGAGGCAGCCGATTTTCAGGAAGTAAGTCAGATTCTTTTTGCGTTAAAAAATTTTGTTCCATTTGATTATGCTAAATAAGGTTGCAAATATATACAAAATATATGTTTAAATATCTAACAAATATTTTTTATAGGAAATATCAAACATGCTCAGCGGTAAGCTTGGTGAAGATGAGCTGAAAGAAGTAGAAAAGGAATTTGCGGAACTAGTAGAAAAGGAAGGCGAACTTAATTTACCGGAAGTCCCATCGGAGCAATTAGCTGTGAAGACATCTGAGAAAAGAAGTAAGTCTCTTTATTTAATGACACCGCTACTTCGAGACTTTTTACCGGTCTACCAGAAAATTGTCTTGAAATGATTGATTTACATTGAGTAAAGCGAGGAAAACTTTTGGCATATGGAAAGTAGAGGAATTGGTAAGAATTAATAAGAAACGCAGTTAGTTGAGCATATTGTGATAGAATATGTTCTTATATGTATCTTGAAGTGTGTTTAAAATAATTTCGTCAAAAAAGTTTATCAGCCGGTTGCGTTTAGTTGATCAGGAAAGCGATGAAATCCTGGTTTTATTTTACTTTAGTCTAGAATTTCTTATAAATTGTCTGACCGGTGAACTTAAATTATATATTTATTTATTTAAGAACGAACTTAATTTATTTTCCTGTTATATGTTCTAGCTGTTGTAATGGGTATAGTAAAAAAGGAACTGGTGATAATTTAGGTCAGTATCAGTGATAGAGAAACTGCAAATGACGACTGCGCCATTGCTGTGAATATTGCTACAGCATTGGCTGAGTCAGCTATTTGCTTCTTCATAATATTGTCTATTATTGCTTACTTTCGTTACAGTCAAAATTAATTTTAGAAGAGAAGAGTAAAAGAGTAGCATTGGAAGCATCGTAATATGATATCTCTGGAATTGAGGTATTCATTCATTATACGTGCTGTTATCCTGACGAGAAAGTGATGATAAGTTTTACCTCTTCTTTGCTGTCATATATGACTATCAAAAGTTATGTTGGCTCAAAATATTCTTTTTTTTAATCTAGTCGTTTATTTTTTTTTCCCATTGCGGCTTTATATTATCATTTAGGCAATTAAGTAAGGCAATGGGAAAATTATGGTTACTTTCTTTAAATGCTTGTAATAATTACTACGTTTTTGTTGAAAATCGAAATCGAATACGAAGTTTTCATTAAATTAAGAAACTAGCAATAGAGTACAGTTTTCCTGATTTCGTGGAATATTAACTTTCATTTCTATCTTACATTTGAAACATTCGCTTTTGTTTGTTGTTTGATTCCATTTTGCTAACTTTCTTTCACTGTGATAAACTGTATATTATAAGTTCCTGTATTCAAATAAAGGAATTTTCAGTTCACTCAGTTGCAAATATTGTATAAAGAAGATTGGATTCAAATTGTTGCATTTTAATTTTAAAGCATCTGAAGGCCATGTTGAATGATTGCGGTTGTTTTTGGGGAACTCGAGAGAAGCCGGTCAAACCCATGAAGTTCGTTCACTTTCACGTATCAATATGCTATTTCTTGAATAGCACTGAATTGGAATTGGTTGACCTCTCCTAATTGGAAAGCTATCTGAGGTCATGAGAAGCTAAGATGCTTTCCAATTATTTGCCTCGGAAATGGTTAAGAGGTTTATTTTTCAGCACGGCCGCTATGAGTGGTGCATGAATTTTCGTCATAGGCGGAGGTGTCTGTTGAGGAATTGAACTTTCTTTATAAACGCAACTGTAAAGCCGTTGCTAACCAGTGAGTCACCGTTGCTAATAAAAGTCCAATATCTATGTTGTATTTGTTCTATTGAATTGAATGATATATTTAAATTTTTTTCAATTCATCGAAATTTTTCCATCTTTATTTTTTTCTTTCCTTTATTTTAATTTTGTTTTAACTGAGGAAGCAATTTTAAAGCATGTAGATTAGCTTGGATTGCTGACAAAATAAATAGTTAATGCTATTTCTTTTTCCGAAAAGTAAAAATTAGTGCATTAACTATAATAAATTATTGCAAGAATTATTAAGTTTAATTTTGTTTTAATGCTTTTGCGCAATTCGACAATCAATCAAATTGATAAAATATCCAATCCTTTAATTATTATGCCAATTTTGAAATGCATTGATCAATGCAAGACTCTTTGTCAATTGCATACACTGTCTGGAATTTTATATTCCTCAAATAGAAGCAAAAAATGCAAATGTTCAGAAAGTGTTGAAATAAAACAAATCTGACTTTATGCTTTATGAACATTGCAGTCTGCCGTTTGTCCGTGAATTTCAACAGCATCCAACAAAGTTACGTGCATTTTTTCTACTTTTCAATTTTTTTCGATTCATTTACTTTTGTTAGGAATGATTTGATCCACTCATTTGTGACAAAAATGATCTTTTTGGAAAATTAATTTATTTAATAATGTGATTCTTTCGTC